CGAACTCCTTGCAGGGCTTGGCCTGCCCTGCATGACAGAGATGCATCCAGGGAGACACTGAGACCCACTAGGACACATGACCAGGCACATACAGACACTGGCGGCCACAGCGCAAAGGGACAATATGTACACAGATGCCACCCCGTCACCCAGGGGCTTCTCTGGGCAACCACTATGTTTCCATCTGGACAGAAGTGTCCTTTGCCATCTGACATGGGCTTTGCTAGTCACAGGACACCAAGGCCTGGGCATGTCACTTTAACTTGCCCCTGCCTCAGTTAATTCTTCCCTGTAAAACGCAAATTATGATACACGACCTATACGCCACCACAGGTTACAGTGAGGAGGGAATTCAGATCCTGCTGCCCCTCAAAGCCCTGCAGATGGCCGCAGCCAGGTCAGCATTCCGAGCGGACAGCACAGCCCAGCACCTGGCTCCCTCGCATGCCGCCTGGCTTTCTCTGGCCGCCCCCCCCCGCCCCCGCCCCCCAGTTCCCTCAAGTAATGAGCAATAGCAACCCTTCTCCTATATCAACTGATCAATACGCTCAGCTAATGTGGCTTTCTAGCCTGCTTGATAAGTGTATTTGACCTTTTCAAATCCTATTATGAAGAGGGTTTTTACTGTAGTTATACAAAGTAAACCAGAGGGCTCTGCGGAAACCGTGATTCAGGTGTAAGGTTTTTCTGCTCACGTTTTAAAGCATTGTTTTCCAAAGTGTGTCCCGTGAACCCCTAGTTCTGTGGGAAGTTAATAGACGATGTGTGGAAAAAAGTACTTTGGGCTCATATTAGTTTGCGGGGGACCAGGTGAAGCACGTGTGTACTGTGCCTTTGCTGCAGGACTTCTCATGCTGGTACTCATTGGGAATCTCCAAGGCGACGCTGGACGGACTTTGCAGTATCTCCAAACCTACTTCATCACAGAGTCATTCCTCAGGAGGCACTAGTGCTCTGCAGAGCACATTTAGGGAAATGCTCATCTAGCTGGGGGGGAGGCCAGAGTTGTGGAAACCACACAGCTCTCTGATCTCTTCACGCAGGGCTCTGCTGTGCTGTGACGAGCTGGGCAGGGTAAGGCCCAAGGCCTCCCTGCGGTTGGGGGTCTCTGCTTACCCTCTTGAGCGGTATATTCACTGTCGATGATCCGGGCCAAGCCAAAGTCACCGATTTTGCAGCACAAGGTCTCGGACACCAGGACGTTGGCCGCCCTGAGGTCGCGGTGAATTGAATTCATTTTCTCGATATACGCCATTCCTTCAGCAATCTGACGGAACAGGCCACACAGGGAAGGACAGCATGGGGACCTCCAAACAAGGATGGAGCCCGCCCAGCGTACCCTGAACAGTCCCCATAGGGGAGAGAAAGGCCTCTGCCCACCCCCGCCACCAGCCTGTCTGTAGAAGCAGCCTCCATCCCCTCACAGCCGGGAAGGGGCAGGAACGCACGGGTGCTTCTTTTTGTTTTGTGCTATTATTACTTTTGGAGGAGTGTAGAGAATGGTGGTGTTGCTGGAGAAGGGGCCGATTCTTAGGCGGAGTAGAAAGATGGCTTCGACTGCTCCTCTACTGAACAAACTACAAACCACAGTTCCCTAAAAGCCCAGAAAGGCAGAGACGGTGTCATCAGAGCTAGGGGCTACCTGTATCCCTCACTCATATCTCCCTTCCTTCCAAGTGTCTACAGGAGAGGAAGACAGCAGAATGAAGGCAGGAGAAAAGGCAGGTCTCTTGTCACGGAAGGAGAAGGAAAGAAGGGGCAGCAGAGAGAGCAGAAGGCAGGAGGGAAGGAAAGGGTTTATCTCCCTGGCAAGTTGGAAGCTCTGTTCCTGGAGCAGGGAGCCCCGGGTTGGAATTGTTGGCCCCTAGCATGTTGCTTAAGCTCCCCACAGGGTCACTGAACTAATTGGAACACGGACAAGGGTCTCCAGGGCGTGGAGTTGAGGTAAGAATTAAATGAGACACGTGGCCAAGGACCTAACGCAGCACTGCTCCATGGTGGGCATTCAGGGAGCGGGGGCAGAATCTGTCCTCCCCACCCAGTGCTGGTACAGCAGTAGCTGTGCTGGTCGTGCGGCTTTTAGTCAAGGAAACTCACTCAGAATTTATTCTCTCCACTTCCAATTGATAGATAAAGAAACTGAGGCAGAGAATACAAAACCAGTTTATCTCCTCAGACCTACTACGGCAAGAAGCCAGCACTAGAATTGAGCCCACCTCTCCTTCTGCTGCCATGTGTATTGATTCATGAATCCATTCATTCATTCACTCGTTAATTTATTCTTTCACTAAATCATTCCATCGAAATACATTTTAGTGGTATGGCATTGTGGAGACCATAAAGCTGAATCCCAAACATCTTATATCTGGACAGCATTTGCAAGCACTCATCCCGTTAACAAATACATATTAAGCAGAACTAGAAATACTGGGGGCGGAGGAGAGGGGTGCGCAGGTTAAGTAGCACCCAGAACTGCTTTCAAGGAAAAGAATCTACGACACATGTGCTCACGAGAACACACGAGCTAAGTGCTCTCTAACGCTTTTCTGTCCAGGGAAAATTTACTAGAAATGACACTTGACTTGAGTCATGACCACTGATTAGGATTCTGCCAGGTGAGAGGAGAGCCAAAGGCGTTCTGAGCAGAGGGGACAGCCCAGGCGAACGCTCACAGGTGTGACAGGCCGTGGGCATTGGCTGTGTGGCTGCAAAGCGGGGCACCTGGCGTTGTGGTTGGAGGGGAGATTTGCATTTCATCTGTAAAGCAGGAAAAGGAGTGCCCAGAAGGGCGCTGAGTGTGTGTGCGTGTGCGTGCGCGCGTGCGCGCGTGCGCATGGTGGGTGTAAGCATGATCAGAACGTGGTTTAGAAGCTGTTCACCTAGCAGCAGGTTCTGATTTGGGGTTTCTTAACCCTCAGATTCTTGACCACACCTAAGTATAAACTCAGGTGGCTTTTCATATCTTTTGCCCCTGGGTGACCCAAGATTTCCCAAGGGATTGAACATGAGACGGAGGAGAGCGAGAGGAGAGAAAGAAAGAAAGAAAAAAAATAAAGGAGTGCGCAGGCTTATCGCTCTTATGTGGTTTGAAACCAGTTACGAACACTAATTTTCCAAGACCACCTCGCCAGCTTCCTCAAAGCTCTGCTCACCTCAGTGGAAAAAGGGTGCCATGACATCAGTTCCTACACTGATCCGAAAAGCAGATAAGCAGCAGAGG